GTCAAGCAACAAAAGATAGAGAAATCACATTCCGGCATATAACTCACTATCTAAAGTTCTCTAAATCCATATCCCTATGTGATTTATCAAACTAGATGCATGAAGAACGCTATCATCAATCCTAGATCGATCAAACCATATTCCTATGTGAATAATACGATCTATTATATCGATTTTGAAACTAAACCCATATTCCTATGTAGTTCAGAATCTAAAACAACTGATCAAGGGGTCAACAAACATCAATTGACATGAAGTGCAAATCGATAAAACTGAAACAAATCCAAATCGCAACCAAGTTAGGGTTCAAACATACCCAAAACACAAACGAATCCCTAACCCACAGCCGTGGATCTACTCACGGTTCATGGAAAAACACTGAGCAAAACTAGAAACAGAAAGAAAAGAGGGAGAAGAAAGACTCATGTCGACAACAAGCGATCTTCACGTTCCAGATCGAATCTTCCTTCTTCCTCCCGAAATCCCGTGAACTTCTATTCTTCTCTTCACCAAAAGCTCTCCAAAAGTCTGTATCTAAGTGTTCTCTAAGGCTCTCTTGTTCTAAGACATGGCTAGGCCTTTTTTATAACCCTAGGGTGGCTCCCAAGAGTCCTTTTCCCTTTAGGACTCTAAAAATCGCAAATTAGGGTTTTTCTCCGTCGGGTCCGGTTCCATATGGAACCGGATCGGTTCCACCTTCTGTTTCTTGGCCTTCTGGACACTTGAACCGTACCAAAATAAGTGAACTCGGACCTCTTGAACCGGCCGGTTCCAAATGGAACCGGACCGGTTTCATCTTCTAGCAGATTTTTCAGGATTCGCGATTTTTCTCATAACTTCCAGCTCCGATGTCGGATTTACGCGATTTTAGTGTCTACGCGAAGCTCTTGAAGTCCTCTTTCTAATGATATAAGTCTCGCATGATTTGGACATCTGTAGAGAAAGTTATTGATGTCAAAACATGAGTATCTCATCTGGACTTCTCCTTTAACGCTCCAAATAGCTCCTTTTCGAGTCCAATCATCTTCGAAACCTGTAACTCTACAAAACTAAAGTACTACCGGGTTTTGTGTCCTAAACCGCCTAGAATGCCTATAAATGCATGTGGTTATCCTGTAAAACCTAGACAAACTCTTATAAAAATATAGAGAGAAATAGGAGTTATCAGAAACCTAAACAAACTGAATGAATACGTGTGGTAAGATGTGAGAATAAAACATCGCGAGTGAATCGTTGTGTGTTTATTTTTGGGTAGCATTGCATGGCGTTGAACGGTAAGACAGTGAGAGGTCGGATACTGTGATATGCGTGATTGTAACCGGGGGGATGATGATGCACATTAAATGCTATGGTTGAAGCTCACTCGTGCGATGCGAGGGGAGAACGATTGTGATTGTACTCCGATGTGTCACGAGAGGTGACATCGGCCGTTACCAGTGCGGTGACAAGCGTGTGAGGCGCATGATGATCGCGAGATGCGATGGCCAACGTCATGCGATGTGACGGACGTGCGGAGTGCACCTAGTCATGTGATGTGACTAGGATCTTAGCCTATTCCTATGGTGCGATGCCATACGATATTGATGATCATGTGATACGACGGCCAACGTTGCGTGAGGCGAGACGCACCTAGTCATGCGATGTGACTAGGGTTTATGGCTAGTCCTGTGATGTGATGTCGTATGGGCATGATTGTGATTGATGTGATATAGTTTCATGTTATTATTACTTGTAGTTTATTGTGGATCATTGTTGTATCACCGTTCTCGCTGGGAACGGGATGACCGGGATCAATCACTAAGCGGTTGTGTTTAGTCCTCGTTGTTGAATCTTTTTCAGATCCCAAAGAACACGTGTAGCGACCCCATCGGACGACGACAACTCATGGAAGTTAGCATCATGTATGGGTTTTTCTCGTTTTAGAACCTCGGGACATGGATCCCACTTTGTACGGATAATATGTTTTACTTTATCGGATATGTGTTGTTTTGTGACTATGATCATATGTGTTGTATTTTCGCTGCGTAACTATGTTTGAAAAGTTTTAAAAATTCCCGTAATTCTGTGTTATAATATTTTTATTGAGTTTTGTCCATGTGGCGCATCTTGTATATGAGATACGTGATTCTGGTGTCACAATGTCCTCTGCCCAAACGCATATAACATAAAATATCTTGGGTTTCTGATTGAGAATGTTAGCAATAAACAGAAGTAGACAAGGAAGTAAGAAGAAGTAAGAACCTCACAAATCACTCAAAAATAGTGTTTCGTTCAATTTGTGTATCACTCAGCTCTCCTGTTTCTCTTAGGAATCCTTGTGCAAACTAATCAAAGAACTCAATTAGATGCAACAACAATAGAATTCAAAACTCAACTCACTAAACAAAGTTAAAAGATGAGTAAGAGTGACTCTAAATCAAAAGACCAATATTCAAAACAACAAAACTCAAATGATTCAAAGATGTGACTTCGACTACGACTCAGATGGAAATTTTGGACCACGACTCAATCGAAAAATTTCCTCCAACACAAATTTGAATCAATTTCAAGTTTTTTCTTCTTTTTTTTCCTTCTCATTTTTTTTGCTTTTCTTCTTTTGTTTTTTTTTTTAACTTCGATTTTTTTTTCAGAATTTTTTTCTCATTTTTTTATTCTTTATTTTTTTCTTTCTTGTCGATTCCCTTTACAATTTGAACTGCAACAAAATCAAATTCGAAAGTCAATAAAATGACAAAAGAAATTACGAAACAGAATAAAAATAAGATAGAATGTAAAACGGATAAAATGAATAAAGGATAATCCTAATAGGAAAAGTTAGGCTCTAATACCAAATAATATGATCCCAAGATCGATAGACTTCTCGATAGACGATGGATTGGTTCCCTAAACCTCAAAACAACTCGTAAACGAAACCTAAACAAACGTTTGTGAAGAATAATCTTAAATCCCAAGTGAACCTGGCTTAGAAACGTAGGGTGAGCGAAGACGCCACAAGTGTTGTGCAGAATTAACACTTGATGATAAGTTAAGATTGAACGCCACAAATGAAGTTACGATAAGTTCAAAAATTAGTTCTAAAAGAACTCTAAGAGAAACCTCTCAAAATATATTTCAAAATTGTTCCATAAATCTGATTTGGGATCTCAATTTTTAGAGAACAATACATGAAACTTAGCAAAATAAACATAAATAAGCATAAACAAAGAGGTTTGAATGTGTAGTCTTCAAGAAAGTCATAATTGACTTTCATGTCTTTAAGAATGAAGTTGGAAAGTCATCTTGACCATAATTAATGTCAATTTTCTTCTTCCTTATTGAGTTTGAATTTTGGGTCTTCCAAACATGAAATCAAGTGGATAATGGGCTGAAGGATCCAAACCCATGGACTTTCCCATGTATTCTTGATCCAAACATTCAATAATAAGACAATTTGGTACATCTTGTAGTTTTTTGGTACGTCCTCTCATCATCGGTGTGAATTGGTACGGTGAATTCTCCCACTTTATCAATTCTGAAGCAAGCTTCCAATCGAACTCGAATGTGGTTGCCTTCGATATCACATCATTTAGGTTAAAAAAAAGTAGAGAATGTTATTGGATGATATCCACTTTATGAAGTGAAAATCTGTGCGCCTTCTTGCTTCTAGTGTCCAACACAGTTCTTTTCGTACACCGTTTAAACCAAAAGAAAGAAAAAGGGATAGCGAGAGAAAAAACATATGATTCAGATTTTTTTAATAGGAGGAACAGTATTGAGTATACAAAGATATGTCCAATTGGTATTGGTTCATCATGGAAAACAATTCCAGCCGTTAGTTTTGCAGAAATCTAGTAACAAGTATGTTTCTAAACGGCGGATTCATATCCAGAAATATTAAAGTTAAAGAAAAGTAGATAACTTTAGTTCACATAATAGTTTATATCGCGGTCGATATCTTAGATTTTTATCTTCATTTTTTAATTAGACATGGTTTTTTTAAAAGTTTCTTTTGCTCTATTATTTTAAAATTATATTTTTATATGGGTTTGGATATTTGATTGAAAATAGATTAATTTGATTTGGATAAAAAAGATATGTTTGGATTTGACTTTTTATATACGCTACTAGTTATACTCATTTATGAGATGAATATAAGGAAAAAAAAAGTAAAACATAGTAGTTTTGAATTTTCTC